GAGAGAGAGAGAGAGAGAGAGAGAGAGAGAGAGAGAGAGAGAGAGAGAGAGAGAGAGAGAGAGAGAGATTTGCGACATTGGGACTTGGTGACTTCGAGATTCAGACTTGACACATGAGCAGAGACATTGTGGTGGACTATTTTGGGATCGGTATCAACGGCATTTTGGGTTGATGACATCTCTCCTTTCTTTCCCCCTCTTCGTCTCTCCTCCCTCCTCCTCATCCATGTATGCTGGTGTGTGGCGCTTCGTCCCTGTGTTATAGCGCCAGGTCCCCCCTCACACCGTGTGATGATGATGATGATGATGATGATGACGTTCAATCTGTGTCACGACATTGATTGGGCCTGATTATTGGTATTTCAGTCTTCCGCTGTGCTATCCTTACTCCATCTGTGAGGGGTCGGTTCTTGGGTCTGGTCTGTGCCACTTGGCATGTGACAAGGGAGGAGGCGAGAGGTGACGGAAGATGGGAGGGGTAGTAGCAGAGGAAGACATCTCTCTCTCCTCTCTCTCTCTCTCTCTCTCTCTCTGTGTGTGCGGCGAGCCTTTGATGGCAAGGGGCGACGGACAGCAGTGGGCTCAAGGTGACTTTGTTCTCATTTGTCGGTTGCAGCATCTGTTCCAATGACTGGTAGCGCCCTCCGACGTCTGTGGTGTTCCGTGCTATTCGCGCGGATTGGCGGCCCAGATTCAAGAGTTACCAAGAATTGAGATTAGCTTCAAATCTGGGCCATGTGAGGAAGGACGGCCTGCATTTGCGGCAAATCACACAGAAAAAAAGGATCAGTTATGCATAGTTTGCTGTTCGTGCACGTGAACGCAGTTCGGTACGATGAACTGAACTGTGGCGTGTGATTTCTTAACTCTTTTTCTTCTTCTTCTTCTTGCTTCCTCCCGATCTCTCTCTCCCCTATCTCTGTGCGGTGTGATTTCATCACTCTCTTTCCGCTGATTTGCTGATGTTTGGTTGCTCATTGCTGACGTTGTGGATGCTCTTTTAAAAAAAAGAAAAGAAAGAAAAAGAACCTTGCGGGTTCTGGCTCCTTTCCATTCTGGGGAGCATCAGTCCAGTTCCTATTCCACCTGCAAGTCAGAAAAGATTACGATAGTTACACACACACACTCTTCCCCATTCTGGTTGAGAGGTCCGAGTGGACGGCGTTGATTACTTCCCGAGGGAAGGATGTACCACCCATCACCCCTGCCTAAGTTGGCCTGCATGACTCACTTGGGTCTACGCGACTCTATGGTTACTACTGTAACTACTCGCTATATCTCGGAACTACTGCAACTAACCAAAGGAGGCCTGGTCTAAACTGTTCCTCTCAGGTATTTGGCCGTCGGATTTGCCGTAAGTGCTGGAGCAGTGAGCCTGGCTGCTTGTTGTTGGTCTGGCCAAAACCCTAAACCCTTGTGAGTGATTTCTCGGGTTGTGCTGCTATCGGAAGCTAGCGCTGGAATTCTGCAACCTATCCTCTCTATCTCTGAGTCCGTCTGGATCCTGTGCGCTTGCTGAGAGTCTGTCCTCTCGGTAACCCTTCCTTCTTTCCTTGAGATATGTACTCAGTTCTCATGGCCGGCGATCTGCTTCAAATTGTCTGTTTATAGGTGTCAGTTACTCCTGGTTCCTTTGGTAAGCTATTCGCTTCCTAACTACTCTGCGGTTGTTCTTCTTGCAAGGGTATTCCTTCCCCATCTGAAGCTTCTGTGAGTGGATGATCTTGTTCATGCTGTTTTTTTGCGGCTTTCATCGGACTGTACTGCATGTGTCGAAGGACGGCCTTCGTTTGTGGCAAATCACACACAAAAAAGGATCAGTCATGCATAGTTACTGTCTGTGCATGCAATTAGCCCAGATCACCTGCCGATCGTTTCCAGGACCAGTCGGCTATCTGGGCCGTTCACATTGTAAACAGTGAACGGCCCAGATGGGTCCCTTACGAAGATTAGGAAGTTATATGGTTTGGTACAAGAGAAAAAACTGAAAGAAATTCAAGAATATGACCAAAGTCAAGAGTTGCGTCCCTGTCCGGCAGACAGCAGATAAATGGCACGCATGGAACTGCTGACAAACAGATCGAGGGTTCAAATCCTATCAGTTACGAAAGTGCGAGGTGCTAAGCAGAGAGAAAAAAAGAGTTTGATCTGCTCAGGTGTCTGTAAACGAAATAGGGAAAAAATTAGAAAAGGGATTTTCTTCTAGGCTACCAGCCGGGCCGCCCGGGTCATCTTGTTTGCCGGGCGGCCCGGCCATGGAAGGGCCAAAGGAGGTCCCAGCGAAAGGAAAAAAAAGGTTAACCCCCCCCCCAATATACTAGGCTACCAGAGTGGCCCGGGTCCACTTGCCCGGCCAGGCCAAAAAGAAGTAAAAAAATATATATTTTTTAATTTCAATTTTCATTTTAAATTTGGTAAAGAATTTCGATGTGACCCTGAGGCAAAAGTTGTTCAGTTTATTTTTCTTCATAACATAGTTTTTTTCGGATTTTTTTTTTTTTTTTTTTTTTTTTTTGGCTGGGACCTTCGGTAGTCGTTTTTTTTTTCCGGCTGGTAGCCTAGCAAAAATATGAAAAGTTCAAAAAACCTATGTTATGCAGAAAAATAAACTGAACAACTTTTGCCTCAGGGTCACATCGAAATTCTTTATCATATTGGGAAAAAAAAAAATGTTTTTTTTTTTTTTTTTTTTGGCCCGGCTGGCCAAGTGATCCCGGGGACCTTGTCCCACATCGTCCGTTGAGCTAGGTTCACATTCGCGGTGTGACTGTAGGCGACGAAGGAGATGCACGCCCTAGCAATCATCCAGCGGTCCTCTCTTTTCTGAAAAGGTAATAGATATTATCGCGTTTCTTATTCCAACAAAATAGTTCTAAAAATGATGTTTTCTCGAATGCTACGCCCCCTACCCTCGCCACTTTCCGTTGAGCTAGCTGTCTCCTTTTTTAGAGACAGCCAGTTCGACGACCGTTGGCATCCTTTCTGGAGTTTTTTTTTTTAATATTATTTTTTTATGTTTCGAGAAATCTGTGAATTCGTTTGTAGTACTTTGTACTTTGCTATTTTCGTGTGACTTTTGAAGGACCGAAGATGCGTGAACTACGGGCAATTTGGTGCGACCTTTGAAGGACCACATATGCGTCAACTACGGGAATAGGGCGAATAGGGCAACTCTTCATAGGATCGGAGCGACTCTTCGGACGTCATGTATGCCACTCCAATTGTGGAAAAAAAAAAAAGACGAATGAACTGTATCTTAGGCGGATTTGAATTTGAAATGAATTAAAAAAAACAGTTTCAGCCGTCACACCGTTGAGCTAGGTCCACTAAACGGTGCATGTGGGACAAGGTCCCGGGCCACTCTGGTAGTCGAGAGATTTTTTTTTTTTTTTTTTTTTTTCGGGGAAAATAAAAAATTTAGAGAAAAGCTTGCAGCGTTATGCCCCCTTTGGCTTGTTTGTTACTTTGGCTTGTAAGTCTACGTGAGTTCGATTGTGATTTATGAGTTACTATTACTGATTAATGATCTCAACCATGGACTGCTCATCTCGGTTGCCGCCCTGTGATTCGTTATGTTGTTATGCTGCGACAGGGTGGAGATTGAGGATGAGAAAGTCAACGGCTCCTTCTCCATGCGTTTCCTTGGATTCAGTTCGTCTTTTGTGTACAACGATATTCCTAATTTGGCTGTGAGGTATGTGGTTGTCCCAACTTACTGCGATGGATGGTGACAAAGCGACAATCACTAATCTCTCCTTTTTCTTTTTTCTTTAAACCACTAGTACCTCCGAGCCTTGGGAAATTAGGGAAAAGTGGACGTTTTCCCGTTTTCCCCGAAGAGTTCGGAGGTACCAGAGGCTCGGCATCAGTTGTATTTCCCATTACCAAAAAAAAAAGAAAAAAGAGAAGAAAAGAAAGAAAGGAAGGACGTCGGGTCGGGGAAGGCCGTGAAGGAGATGTGCTGACATCAGTACTCAAAGGAACGCATCTACCCAGAAACATAGCCAGTTTCGTTTTTTGTATGCGTTTTGCTTTCTTTTTTTGGTGATCCGCGTTTAGTGCCCTGCCAACGAGAGGCAAGGCGCATTCCACGGGCAGCTGACACTTTGCAATGGGGGGCGCATTCTCACTCGTGCAATGCAAGGCGCATTCCACGGGCCCTGTATCCAGCTGCTTTCACGTCCAAAGTGTTGTTGCTTTTTTCAAGTTTTTTGCGT